TCATCTCCCTGTACTTGGAACTGGTGACACTGCACCTCACGTCCTGTGTTCAGTTCTGGGCCTCTTACTACAAGAAAGACATTGAGGTGCTGGAGTGGGTCCAGAAGAGGGCAACTAAGCTGGTGAAGTGTCTGGAGAACAAGTCTTATGAGGAACAGCTGAGGGAAGTGGGGTTGTTTAGTCTGGAGAAGGCTCAGGGGGACCTTATCGATCTCTACGACTACCTGAAAGGAGGTTGCAATGAGGTGGGGGTCAGTTTCTTCTCCCACATAGCAGATGACAGGACAAGAGGAAACAGCCTCAAGCTGCTCCAGGGGAGGTTTAGATTGGATATGAGGAAAAATGTCTTCACTGAATGGGTTGTCAGGCATTGGAACAGGCTGCCCAGGGAAGTGGTGGGATCACCGTCCCTGAAATGTTTAAAAACCATGTAAATGAGCCCCTCGGTAACATGATTTAATGGTGGTCTTGGCAGTCCTGTGGTAATGGTTGGACTTGATGATCTTAAAGGTCTTTTCCAACCTACTTGATTGTATGATTCTATAATTGGCATTTCACAAATCCAGAATATCTGAATTTCAATGCTACATATTCCAGAAATTGCTTTCTTGCTGTCTTTATTAGCTGCTTAGTGAACAAAACTGTGTAGTGAACTATGTTCGTTAAAATCATGACAAATAGTTTTATTTACTGAAGTGCTTATAGTCTTTAAGCTTGAGAAATAACTGGGTGTATTTTAAAATGGGATGATTTTTTTTCCACACCACAACACAATTCAGGCATCGTATTCATGACTGAGCAGCTTTTTCTGAAGGGGAGGAGGAATAAAGGGAGAGACCTTGTGTAGGCATGTACATAAAGTAATGGAAGTATTGCTTGAAAGCAAGTTTTCCTCAGAAAACAGTGACTGGAAAAGCAGTATGTACATTCTCTCCTACCCATATCTTCCTAAATACTTCTGAATAAGGAAGTCTGCATTATTACAGTGCCTTCTCTTTCAGGTCTTTTGGCAAAGTACAGTATTATGTTCTAATGGAACAGCCATCATAACTGCATTGTTGGCTTTCCTGGACTTTTTAATTGCTCTATACATTGATAGTATGTGCACTTTTCCTAAAGAGTTTATGGACCAATTCCAGTATGTAAAAGGTTAAAAGGAATCTTTCCCTGTGTTTGAGTGGGCATTAGATCTTGCCCTAAAATGCTGGGCAAGGACAGTATGGTACTTGTTTGATAACACCAATGCATTCAGAATCCAAAATAAACATGGCTATAGTTCCTGGTCAGTGTCAGACACCGTGGTCAGTTGAATGTGACATCCCACAGTTGCTTACCATAGTATGGACCAAACATCTAGTATGAACTGGATACTAGGAAGTGGGAAAAAGTTTTCCTGACTAAGAAAATTATAGGTATCACTTAAAGGCTGTGTCTTCTGTAGCCTGTGGTCAATGGCAAAGCTTCACATTCTTAGAACAACCTGGGAGGAAGGAAGAAGTGGAACAAGGAAAATTTTCTGTAAGATTGATGTATGTGTAGAAATAAGCATCTTAATTCTTATTCATGGGAAACAAAACATCATCATGTCTACGTTAAGTAACTTTGTAAAAAATTAAATACACATTCCCAGTCCTGGGAATATCCATGTTTGTGCGCCAGTAAGTAATTGCAAACAACATAATTACTTGTGCGAGTGAAAAGCTTGTAAAAGCAGTGAAATTGGCCTCCTAATCTGCATGTTTATCAATTTGGGTACATTTATGTAGCATCTAGAGAGAGTGAAGGTTTTCAAAAACATTCAGTGGTCACTTAGGATTATTATCTTTTCTCTTCAACAGGTACTCTGTGTCTGTATGTTAACAACAATCCTAGGATGTATATTTGGCCTGAAGCCTAGCTGCTCAAAAGATGGTAACTAATATGCCTTTTACATAGTAATATTTCTAAGCAATTCCTTTTTGGTTTCTTTTTTGTTTGGTGGGTTTTAGTGGGTTTGTGTGTGTTTGTGGTTTGTTAGGTTTTTTTTGTTTTGGTTTGGTTTGGGTTTTGTTGTTGGTTTTTTTTTTTTTTTGTAAAGTAATTTTGATACCATCAGAATGCCACCCTTTCTTGCTGCAGGAAGAGGATGGGATGCATTGCTGAAAGCAGTTTCAGTTAGAGGGAAATGAAAAGACCAGGAAATAAACCTCAGGTGTACTCAGTACTTGTGTGTATTCACTTGAGAGGTAAACTGGCACTCTGTGTCTGGTCTGGCAGCTTCCATGTAGCCCAACTGTCACTGTGGTGATGTCACATGGCTGGCTTTTCTCTGTTCTCCCTAAAAAAACCACCAAAAAACAGAACACCAAAAAACAAAACAAAACAAAAAAACCCCAACAATCCACAAACCCACGAAAACCCCAACCAACAACTTCTATTTCATGTTGTCCTGGAACATTTGTTTTTCATCTTTTCCAGTCAATTATGGGGAAAATAAGTTAGGGGTTTTTTTTTTCTTTTTCTTTTTTTTTTTTTTTTTTACACTGGTTAGAATTGTAGTCTGAAAATGTTCCTTGTGGAATTCCTCTGGCTGTTTTCTGTCCTGAAAAATACTGAAAAATGTGTTTTGTTTTTTTTCAATGATGAAGTTTCTTCAGGTGGAAGGTTACAAAAGATACTTTAAGAAATCAAGCTTCTCTTTGGGAACAGCTATCTAGAATAATTTCAAAGTTGTTAACCAATAGTCCTACACTGATTTTTAACTAAAATTCAGGTTATTAATTTCTCACTACAACTTGTTTTAGGTGTTTTTCTCATTTTATTATAGCTTTGAAATACTGGCTCATTATTATCTCATTTTTCTAATATCACACACCTCAAGTTTATCTCCTATGTCTGGTTTGGAATGGTTCTTCCTGTGTCTTGAGATAGTACCTTAATTATTGTATAGTGGGATGCAGAACTGGGGCTCCTTCAGTTCCTCCAATTTGTATGAGGACAGTCATCCACGCAGGACATGAGCATGCGGGAGTTGCAAGCATAGCTGATGCAGTCTAGATTCTAATTAATGTTTATTTATAGAAAGTGGAACATTTGTCAGACATGAAAATGAAGGTCAGTGTTCTCTGCAAAAGCATTTTACTATTTAGGGCACCCTTATTGAAAACCTAGGTTTAAAATTCATCTGACAGATCTTCCATATGCTGAATGACTGTACTTGTATTTTTCTGGCGATACAGAAAGGCAGGGACAGTTGCAAATTGAATTGTAGTCTTTTGTTTCACTTGTTCTTCCAATAACGAAACACCATGTTCCTGCTAAAACAGAACAGAACCCTTTGTTCAACATGATGAAAAAATATTTTTGTTCAGGAAGAAGAGAAACTGAAGGCTAAACTTCTCCTTTGGCTGTTACTGTGTTTTGCAGCCATCCTGTAAGTTGTGTGGAATGACTATCTGTGTCATTCCACATGCTGACTGTACTGATTTCTTTCTGCATGTTGACTGGTGTGGGCTCAGCCACTGACATCTAACACTATCCAATATTACAGTGAAAACCTGCAAAGGTCGTTGCTTTGAAAGGACCTTTGGAAGCTGCCGTTGTGACAGAGATTGTGTCAAGCTTGGAAACTGCTGCTTAGATTACCAGGAAGCATGTATACAGCCAGGTAAGGATGGAGAAAAGTTGTGGGGTCAAACTCTCCAGTTCTGTGATGTGGGACAGCTCTGTGTATGCGAGTACTGTTGTGGTCCAGTGGCTGTAATCTCTGACTACTTTCAAGTGGGCTGTGACTGCAAAGGGGAGCTGCTGAACTGTGGGATGTTTCTGACACCGGTGGTCTCCCCCTCCTTGTGCTCCCTCCACTGCAACCACAGATAGAGTTGCAGTGGTGACGGTGGTACTGGGGACTCCTATGGAAACATCAGGGCTCTGGTGCAGCTGTTACACACAAACAGAGTTTATTTCACACAGCTGGACTACACAGGAGCTGACATAGCCAGTCGGCTGGCTTTCTTATAGCTCCTGTGGGAGGAGAATCTGCAAGGGACTGTGCTGCTGCTCTCCCCCATGGAAAGAGGAGGAACAACTGTAACTTGAGGTCTCAGCCAGCTTTTTGTTCTCTGTCTGGGGGTGAGAGAACAGTGACCTGCATTGTCCCTGGCACTGGGGACAACTCCTACGTTCTCGGGCAAGCCAGGAATAGAAGCGCGTTCTGCACATTGTATCTTTCTGTCATCGCCTGTGTGTAAAAGGCAAGGGACAGAGCAGCTCTGTGAAAGCTGCCATCTTTTTTTACCCAGCTACTCAGTCCTTCTGCATTGTTACTCCCCAGCTTGAGTGTGATAGCAAAGGTCACGTGCTGGCCTCTGGGACAAGGCAGGATGACAAAACTGATTCCACTAGTGGGGAATGACTGCGAAGTGAGAAGCAGTTTTCATGCTTTGCCAGAAAGCAAAGGTCAGATAGGCAAAGGTGTGAAAAGTACCATGGAGAAATTTTGACAGGGAAAAGTGTTAGTGCGGGTAGTAATGCTAAGGACAGAACCTGACTGTTTTCTATTTTAGTTTTGCCTTAGTGCTTCATATGCAGCATTCTTTTCAACATTCTTCTTGCTCCTCTTCCCGTGTATTTGTAAAATTTATCAGTGTATTCTCACCCTAAAATTAAAAATTCTACTGTTGACTTTTAAAACCAAATGATGAAACTAGGCTTAGATCCCCAATTCAACTGACTGTTATTGAAAGATCTTCTAATTTCTGTAAAGCTTTTTGTTTATAGAATAGTTGCATAGGATTTACTCTCCACTTTATTTTATTACACCACTCTCCCTCAACTTAAAGAATTCTTTAAAAACAAACTGGAGAGTCTGTCTTAGCACTAAGAATGGGAATTTATTGTGTGGTGGTTTTTTTTTTTTTTGTTTCTTTTTTCTTTTGGTTGTTTGCTTTTTTTAATTAGTCTTATCAGTGGAGAATCAAATTCTAATTTCCAAATAGTAAAATAGTATCATGTAACTAGAACCATAATAGATTCTTCTCTCTCTCAGAAGTAAAGATTTACTGACACTGGTGGAGTTATTGAAGTTCAGTATTGCTGAAAGTGAGATTAACTTCCTGGGAATACTTTCAAGGATTTCTAATTGCTAATCATGTATGAAAATCACTGACCCTACTCTATTCAAACATTTATATTTGGATTCCATGTCTCCAAGACCTTCACTTAAGCTTTCGCTCAGCTGGCAAATTCATTCATATTTATCCTTACAGACTGCAAAGTCTCTGTGTATCTTTACAACTGATAACAATACTTCAAATTATACTATGTATTGGAATACTCTGTTCAGAAAAATCAACACGTATCAGGCAAAAAGTCTCAACTAAAAGCAGCAATGAAGCTGAAGTAAGTAGGTCTTCCTGTGAGCTTATGTATGTAGTCTCAAATAATGGCAGAGTGATGCTTATGCCTAAGGTGCTGAAAAAAGTTGGAGTGCCAGATGGTGACTGGTAAAAAAAACATTGCAAGTGCAATGTCAGTGCAAGTCAGAATACTGCTGCTCAGTATTTTCTGGGCACTCCAAACCCAGGCTCAAGTTTGTTTTTTATCTGGAGGAGTTTTTTCGGGAGTGTCTTTATAGTATGCATTTACCAAATTAAACCCACATAAATGACCATGTTTAAAAGGATTCTCTCTGATCTGTGGTATTGATAACCATGTGCTGCATAATTGTATTCAGATAGCTATGCAAGGCCCCTTCCAACCCAAACTATTCTAAGATTCCATTTTTCCAAAGTGCCAAAACTTGCAATATTATCTATGCATGAGATACCGCAGGATTGTTTTTCGTTAAGTACACATTTGAGATGGACCTTAACATTCAGATAATGATTTCTGCACTTACACTGGTATTAATTATTGTGCCATCCTTCTCTCTCATCTGTTATTTCTAGCCCATATATGGACCTGCAATAAATTCAGGTGTGGAGAGAAGAGGCGACCGGAATATCATTGTTCCTGTTCAGATGATTGTGTGGAAAATAAAGATTGCTGTGTCAATTATCATGCTGTTTGTAAAGGTAAATATCCTCAACAAGTTCCTACAGTCTCTCATATATGTACCCATATTTGTATGAAAGGAGCAAGGACATAATACAACTTCAAAAGCATCCAGTAAAATGAAAAAAACTTTGCATTTATCAATGAGAATGTACTGTCTTAAATCACACTCATTTGTTTTAAGGAGAGGCAAGCTGGGTTGAAGACGAGTGTGAGGACATTACTGAACCTCAGTGTCCAAAAGGGTGAGGATATTGTACATTTGCATAGCTCTGCTCTTTGCTTACATTTCACTTTTAAGATTATTTTTCCCTAATGTGCCTTCCCAGGATCTGCTTGCCTTTCTTATCACGGTAAGAGCAGCTGCCAGACAAACAATACCTGTTGAGCCAGCATTTGGTAGCACTCACTAACAGATCAGGTTGCTCTACCTCAGCAGCACTCCTGTATCCCAGCACTCGCTTGACTTGCAAGACATGCCTATTCCTGAACCCTGCTGTGTCTCACAGTTGCGTGTGCTCTGGGCAGCTCTGTCTTGTGCCAGCCTTGTTATTGTCCTACATGCGCTCCAGTACCCTCTCTCCCAAATATTTTGGGACTTGACCAGCAATCTCGGGTGTCTAAGACTGCTTCCCTCCCAGTTGCTTCTGAAGACCTTTCCTTGCCTGTTCCAGCCCCAGAACAGCAACCTGTGGACAGACCACTGTCTCAGTTTCACCAGCAGTATTTGTAAGATGTCTGAACTACTTTCTTTTAAAAGGTGTAAAATGCCATGGGATCCTTGTATTCTCTGGCTCAGCTCCAAATTGAGCCTACTCCTGCAAGTTATGTATACACTGTGTGAGGAGTGATTTGTGTAGATAATGGCATCAGCTGTCAGGCTCAAATAGAACAGGAAAGCTCCCAGCCAGGAAAAAAGCCTGCATTTCTTGTACTGCTTTTGCTATGAGATCTTTAACTTTAAATCTGAAGTTGACTGCAAGCTATGATTTTTATGTATAAGTTCTATTAATAGAAGTGACTCTTGATTGAAAATGTTCCACTGGAAAATAGCTTGTAGATACATTGTGGGTGTGAGTTGAATTCAATTATGTTCATGTCTGAGAAGTGTCAAAAAATCAAAACTATTTTCATTTTGATGATTTTGAAATTATAGCGTGCTGTGGATATTTCTAGTAAAGAAAAACATTTCAGTCTGTTCTTATAACATTACTTTTATTTTACTTAAGATATTTAAATCATGCTATATTTATTCATTGGAGTTATAATACTGTCAAACAAAATACATTTCCTTTTTGGAGTATTTTTTATACCAAATGAGTACTCCTCATTTTGGTTCAGAGCAATAACGCTGACACTCTGGAACCTTCATCAAGACAGAAATTGGACCTTCTGTGCAGCTTGGAGTCCAAGTCTGCAATAAGTCCCCATGTAGGACGGAGGTAGCCAGGTGGTTCTGGAAGCTTTTGTCATTAGCTCCTGTTCTGGGGTCCTGGACCATTCAGGACTGTGTGCTGGGATCTGGCTCTAGGATGCTGATATCCCTAGATCAGAAGTGTTACTCCCAAGGGGTGGATAAACAAGCAAGAGCCTTGTGCAGATCCACAAAGTTAATGGCGTGAATGCCATAGAGCAACTTCTGTTGGTTAACTTGTTTTTTAGGCTTTATTGGTTGTTATTTCTGTTCAGCCCATGAAAGGGATACATAGTTACTCTACTGAAATTGTTTTAATCCTGGCAAAACCGGAAGTGTTGCAATAAAACCCAACCCAGGGAAGGGCGATGTGTGGTCAAAGTTGGTCAGTGTTGGCCAAAGGCTCATCTCAGACTTTTAGGACACAAGCTTCTCCCAAAACTAACAACTCTGTAAACAATCCACTTCTTCCTATGGTGGGTTGGGCAGGAGTGCAGGTGACTAACACAGTGCTCATTTTCAGGGCTCAGGATAGCAATTCTGACTCTGTACATATTAATACAGCATGTTTTGTGGGTTCAAATTGCTGGTTTATTCCATTTTGGTTTTAGTTGCATTTTCTCTTGTGGTGCAGAATAGACAAAAGACAATGCAGTGTTCATTGAGGTACTTAATCCAGGAAAGCCCAATAATTTCAATGAGACCAATCAAATGCTTAAAAAGACCTAAGTCTTTCCAAGACTAGTTTCTATGTTGTTAAATAGGATTATACAGTTATTGGGCTAGAAGATTTCAGGGATGATCTAGTTCCTTCCACTTTTCTAGGAGTGAAATAATACTATGAGAATTCGAACCTACTTTGGCAGTTTGTCCTAGTGCTTAACTAGATGGTTTTCCTCAGGTCTGATTATGTTTTTTTTGTACTTTAAGCCTATTACTATTTGTTCTGTGTTCAATAAGCTGAAAGAGCAGCTGATTCCTTTCCTCTTTGCAGATGTCTCCTGTATATTTGAAGATTGCTATTATGCCTTCTGTCGATGCCTTATGTACATTTACCAGAAAAGGAAGCTTTACAGTTTTATATAGGCAGTAGTGCTTGGGACAGGAAGTTTTGTGTAGTATGTTTAGCTTTTCAAGGGAACTTTCTGTTTCACCCCCCCCCCTCCCCCCCACCTTTAACTGTGGTTTAACTTTGTGGTGGTGCAGGTCAGCTTGGCAGTGTGGTCTGCAGTTCTGGGCTCTTGATCCTCCAGGCTGGTGAACCTGCTAGACCACAGCAAGCCTGTTGCCTGCATTTTGTTTCCATACAAGCCATTTTATAGGAGTGGGTAATTACCACTGCATTTCCTTCAGTTTGGAGTCAGGATGTGACTGTGGCATACATATTTACCCAAGAGCTGTGAAACACCCTTGTCATACTGTTTGGACACAGCCAGCATGAATCACTGGTAGAAACAAAACCTGAGCCTCCCAGGCTTACTTGTTCATGGTGGCACATTTTTGAAGCAGCAAACGTAACCTTGGCTGCTGACTGGAAAACATCATGGAAATTGCTGATATGTCTCAGAACTGAGCTCAGGTCAGTTTGCCAGGGGAAGCTGTTCCAGAGAATGCAGTTTCACATTGTCTGTCATGCTTTAAATGAGCACAGGGCAGATCATTTAACTATGTGAGTTTCAGCACATGTAGAGTATAGAAGTGAAATGGCCAGTCTCCCTAGTTGTGGCAATGGTCTGTTTTGCCAAGTTTAATTTTACATGTGTGAGGGGGTCAGTAGCTGGATTTGCAGACAACCAAAACATGTATTTAACCGTTGGTTTACTTGTAAATGCCAAACCTGAAACAGTTGCATAAAGTGCTTTTCTAAGGAGTTGTTTTAAACTTGGTTTTTATTTTTGTTTTGTTTTTAAGTTAGACTTGTCAGAACATAATATTGAGAAGCTTGGTTTTTATTGCAGGAAACTTTTCAGTCAAGATTTTGAGACTAATGCAATGGAGGGAACCAATTTGTTGGGGGAGAGGGATGGCAGAGAAGGTATTTGCAGAAGTTGCAGAAATCAGAATCTGTGGTGCAAACAATACTTGTAATATGGGTGAAGGCAGGACATGAAGTTTTCCCTACTGTTTTCTGCCAGAGGACTTTGATCTGAATGATTTTGGTCTGAAGATCATTCATTTCTTCTTCCCAACTAACTGCCATTACTAAGATTTTTCAAAACATAGTATTACATGTACCATATAAATAAAAAGCAGACTGCAAACACATCTTACTGTTTTATTGTGTCTGGGCTGTAGGGTAGGCTGTGTGATGATTCTGACTAATTAAAGCTTTTTGGCTGAACTGTTGTCCAAATTATTAATTGAAATTTTCTTAGGATAGACACATTTTGGTTGCCTGACTAATCTTCAATTTAATATAGTCATGTTTGACTGAAATAAGACTTCTAAATGTTTCACTTGTAAATGACTATTTGGATTTCTTTTTCTCTTTGTGGGGTAACTCACTATAAAATTGTCACGCTTCATAAATATTTATTTTCTCACTGTTTTATTTTGGGAAACTGAAGTGCAACAAGGCTTTGAACATTTTCAGTTTACAATTTGCAAACATAAAAAGGAAAACTGAGCTTGCAATTGGCATGTAAAATACATTAAATCCTTTGATGTGAATCTGTATTTTCAGTGGTTGCAGTGATATTTTATTTTTCTTTTCAGTCTCACATGTCTTCATATCTATGGATCAAACATAGGGTAGTTTTTCTTCAAGGAAGAAATTACTGGTGATTATTCCTGTTTGTGATCAATGTTTTAAGTACTTACAGTTAGGGAGAAATTGTTGAATAGGGCTGAAGCTGGAAGCAAGTCAAAGCTGGGAAAACATAGGTCCTGTAGAGCCTGGAAGGGGAGAATTTATTTTAGCTAGTTCCAGTGAAATCACTTCTGAATTTCTGTCACATTCCAGGCAGAGATACTACTGTTACAGTGTTCCAGTCATAGGGCCACATTTTTCAGTGTGGAGATTGGTAGTACTTCTGGTACAGTAGTCAAGTTATTCCTGGTTAAATGATCTTCATAAGATAAAGGGAAAAATCTGTGTTATAGCTGTTGATTTAACAAATCCTGTACATGAGATTGTTACATTTTCTTGTGCACTGTATACGTATATATAAAAAGGTAATTCCTCCCCCTCTGCCAGCTAGATCATGAATTTTTCAGGAGCAAAGAGAATAAAGGAAAGCCATG